CAGGTCTGGACCACTTGTGAATTTTGTTCGTATCTGAAGAAAATCTTAGAAAACGAAAACATTGGTGAATGCCACAAATTCTCCTAAAATCACTCGTATGCACAATTTAAGAACAAATCTGTGCGTACGAACGGTTCTTGCATGAGGCCCAATGTTTTTAGCATGTAGCATTTCGCTAGACTGATGACAGAATTCATTCGATTTCAGACTTTTATCACCTGCAATGTTTCATAGATAAGGCAACATTTGCGACAGATGTGGATTTTTATTCTAGAAAAAAGTAAAACAAAGATAAGATGAATTATAACACTATTGTCTAGAAAACAGTCTGCAAGTTATTATAAAGAAATATTTATGCATCGTATATCTAAATTTTATCAATCAAAATGTATACAATATTAAGTGTTTTCAGTATATAACTGAACACACCTTTATATTTAAGTATAGAAATAATCTTTTTCAGTATTTTTTCTTAAATGAAGCACATTCCAGAAGTCTYTCATTTCGTGCATGTGCAAATGAGCTGACGGTACAGATCGTGCTTCCGGGACAGATCGGGCAGCCACAGTRACTCCATGTTTGTTAACATTTTGTGAAGAAGGAAGTTGTGCTCAGTGTCTTCTTTGGAGGTTTTTGTGTCGATTCCTTCAGTGCTTCTGTGTGCAGCGCCACCACAGGTGAAGGAAGGAACAGGTTAACAGGGTTTGATTRGTTTTACAAAGTGCTGTGTCATTGTGAAGCACACCAACTGAAAATGTAAACAAAGCTTGAAATTTTGGTCCCCAATTGAACCGAGTCTACTGGACTATTAGGTGTGAATACAAGCTTAAATACTTTGTTAAATACTAAGAAAAACAGACCCTGACACAGCAGGGTTGACTGTAACTGTTGATGCTAATGTTTAAACAAACTTTTCATATGATCTGTTTGCGCTAAAAGCAAGTTTAGTAACGATGGTTACGTATTGTAACCCAAGATTCTATGAGTGTAAGCGTGGCCCTCTAAGGCTGTCTCCTGAGGTGAGCTTACACATGTCACGACACAGCAAGCCTGTGGGCTGCTGTTTCTAAGTTCATTTTGTAGGATATGTGTTCTTTCTTCTCAGACACATGAACGTGTCCATACTTTCTTATGCACGATCAGACACACTGACCGACTCGTGCGTTTTTACGCACACACTGTCACCAGGACATTATGTGGGTTTGTAGGTGAAATTGGACTTGTAAAGACTACATCTGGCTCCGCCTTTATACCATCAGGCGACAGCCTTAGAGGGCGGAGCTTACACAAAATAAAACGATGGTTACGTATTGTAACCCAGGATACTATGAGTGTAAGCGTAGCCCTCTAAGTATCGGGGCCTCACCGGCTTCTGTAGCTGAAGAAAAAGAGGGAACCGGGCCTCGGTCTGAGCCGCCTTTTATGCAGACCGAGGGTACCCAGTAGGTGGGCGTGGACTATTGAATTTTCAGTGCGTGCGCGCGAGAGGGATACCATCAGGCGACAGCCTTAGAGGGCGGAGCTTAAACGAAATAGAACTTTCAGCTATTAGTCCAATATTTAGCTCAAAATTTACAAAACTGACTGAATTATAATCATATACAGTAATTTATTCTAATCTAGCTAATTTGATATTTTGCTAACACGGCAAAGAAACACACACACACACACACACACACACACACAAAATAACCCATAGATAATCACCTAATGGCCAATGCGATAAAAGCTGTGTGATAAGAAAACTTAAATATCAACTCTGTTTTAGTTCAAACAAACATTTCAATTAAAACTGATATTATTCCACTCAGGAAAAAAGTTTAACTAGATTCCATTTGTCGTTTACCGTTGATTTCATTTTCACGCCGACTCATTTGTTGTCAAGACTGAACCACGTGCAGACGTAAAACCTGCATAAATCAACTGGTTGTCCTTTAAGTTTCTTAAGATTACGTTGCGTAAACTGTTGGCTGGAGACAGCATGTAACAACAGTGATGTCTGTAACACAGTGATAAATAATGTCCCTTTTTTTTAAAATGGGGCTAATTAACCAGACCTAAAATGGAAAGAAGGCATTCTGTTTGTGTTGGATGCTGGGTTTTAGCTCTGCCTTTAAATTTGAGTGAGGTTTTGTGGAATGAAAGCAAATAAAAAGCCAATAAAAAGACAATTCAAGCAGCTTGCTTCTCTCATCTCTAACAGGAATTGGTGTCATCAGTCTGGAGCGGGCCTATCCTCTCACTCTTGGCTCCAACATCGGCACCACAGCCACAGCCCTGCTGGCAGCTCTGGCCAGTCCTGGGAACAAACTCGCAGCTTCTGTACAAGTAGGCTGATGTCTTATTAAGATATGACTGCTTTAAAAAAACAAACAAAAACAAACAAACAAACAAAAACAAATCAGTATGTGACCACTTATAATCTGCCACTGATTACTTTTTGGCACCTAGATTGCTCTGTGTCACCTCGTCTTCAACGTCTTCGGTATCCTGCTGTGGTATCCTCTTCCGTTTATGCGTCTGCCGATCAGGATGGCCRACGTCCTGGGTGAGCGCACGGCCAAATACCGCTGGTTTGCTGTGTTGTACCTCCTGCTGTGTTTCCTGCTCCTTCCATCGCTGGTGCTGGGCCTCTCTCTGGCGGGCTGGCGGGTGATGGCCGGCGTCGGTGGCCCCTTTGTGGGCGTCACRGTCTTCATCGTTGCGGTGAACGTGATGCAGGCTCGTAGCCCCCGTCACCTGCCCACCAAGCTGCGAACCTGGGACTTCCTGCCCAAGTGGATGCACTCTCTCAAACCGCTCGACCGCCTGATCACCAAGGCGACCGTCTGCTGCAGCTTCACTTGTGACGAGGTTCGGGAGGAAGGCGAGGGAGAAGAGGAGCCCATCTCCACACGGACATCCGTCCACATGCGCGATGAGTCGGCTGGTTGTGAGAAGAAGGAACAGCTGGCTTATAGCAACCCGGTCCTGGACTGCCTGGATGAGATCAAACCAGGCGTGCAAGTTTTTAGACTGAAAGGGTTGGAGAGGTGCAACAGCACTCCACTGTAGCTGGACCGAATTTTCTTGTTGTATTCACGCCATCTAAACTTTTGAAGGGCTTGTAAGTTCAACACAGTATAACAAAAACCTCATTTTGTAATAACAACGCATTAATAATGTATTAAAATCAGGCTTCAAAATGTAATAAACTCGCGCTAAAACCTCATTATGTAATAATTGACGCAAAATGTAATAAAAGTCTTTAACTCATTATGTAACAACATTTTTACATTTTGCTGCAATTATTACAAAATGTGGTGGTGTAATAATTTGGTGCATTTTGTAATAAACAATCAAAAACTAGTATTTCTGTTCATCCTAATCAATATACTTTTAATAACTGTCATGTTGCAAATACTACATAATTAAATCTTTATAACTTTGGTCAATAAACACAGAACTTCTCATCATTTATTTGCATTTTCAGATTTACTGTCGTGATCCCTGTTACAGAAATTATTCCACTTTGTAGACAACTCTCAAAATATATCTAAAAGTTAGTTGTACATACATGTCAACCCCTTCAGGCATTTACCTCTATAATGAGCCTTAAAAATCGATAATTTTCGTAAAAACAATCTGTATTAATCACACGCGGGGAGGGGGGGGTTGCAGTTGGACCATCAGCCGCGGAGGGGAGGGGGGCGGTGTGCAGGCAGACTGTCCGCTGTGGCAATTTCAGAAGTAAATGAGGGTGGAAGAACTTATTTCTAGCAATAAAGTGGGTTGGAAGTGGATATTTGATGTTTATAATTGTTTTATAACGTCCTACAGGCTCTGACATGTTGAATAAATTAGTAACAAAGTTTTTGAAAAATTCCTTAAAACATGAAAAATATCAGTGAGATTGCTCTATACATACATTCAAATTTGGTATGCTTGTTTGTCTTTGTGTCTATGATGTATAATGATGTGATTGTGATGCTGTAGTTCTGAGTGTTTTATGTGCTGCAGAACAGGAASCTGCTGTAAAACAGCAATCATGCTGAGTCAGTCTTGATTTTTGATGATCTTTTCCTGTTAAATAAATAAATCAAATCAAATCAAATCCACATACACAATAATTTGACTGAAAATGCAAATAAAAGATGAAAAGTTCTGTGTTTATTGACCATAGTTATAAAGATTTAATTATGTAGTATTTGCAACATGTTATGATTTGTGTCTGTGTTAATGTTTTATTTTAGTTTCCATCTTGTCATCTGTTTTCTTCCTCCTGTCTGCCTTTGCTC